AGAAAAGATGTGCACAGTGGGCGTCGTCGGCGGTTACGTGTTCTATCCGAAGACTAATGGCCATGTGTGTAGCAAAGCTCATGTATCTTTTGTCGATCAAGTACGACTCATTTCAGCATAATCCCCACCTTTTCCACAAAATATAGGACGATTACGAACCCAGTTGTAGAGGAAAAGAGTGTGCCAGTTTTGGGCGGATGTTCCATGCGGGCGGCTCCTTTTCTGTACATATATATATATATATATATATCTGTTTGTTAAAATTTTTGTTTATTCACGCAAGCAAGTACTATAACTAGTGCCGAATCCAGTTCATCTATATAGAAGCTGCATGCGTCCATAGGATAATACAGCACACTACTTAAAAAAATCGGGACCAAAAAATGCGAATTTGTCAGCGTCTAATTGGAACATATATTCACATAAATTCAGTCAATGACCTGCATAGAGAAGTGGCCTTTGATCTTCGATGGTACCTTGGTGTCTTTTAGCAAAAAGAGCAAAAAGAAATTAGAGACCCTTGTAAAGTTGAAAGATATTAGATCACGTGAACAATGCTGATGGCAAAACACCGTGCATATCTAACATGAAAACTAGATATTGCTGGATAGTACTACCAATATTCGTTATGGTACAATTTACCAAATATTAATGGCAAATTATCTTCGATCAACTATTTTATCGAGACTTTGTTTAAAAAACACGAATGTCCTTCTTCAAAACAATGTAGTTTAGTGAATTATATGCAGTTTATTCTCTCCAAAAGTTGCAATTAGACAAAATAAAAACAAGGACAAAATGAGATTCAGATCAGATCGACGACTTTTTCGTCATTTTTGTTTGTTACAGGACGAACAAAATATTTTTCATCGATTTTACAAATAACACGTAAAAAATATTTCGACGAAGGATTTTGCCGAATCGACAAAAAATATCTTTCGACGAATTTTTTTTTCTACAAAATAGTAGTTTCGACAGGTATTTATTTGCACTATTACGTAGACTTTTGTAGAAGATAAGAGTAGAGCACAATTGCGTTGTAACTATACTTACGATGCAAGTCATCTCGTGCTGTAATCACAGCTATGAGTTAAAACTTTTGAATTTTTCCATCAAAAACCTTTTTCGGTTTTTGAAAAGTAATGGGACCGATATATCGCGGTACATCAAGAGCTTTTGATGAAGGTTGAGATATATTTGACCATAGACTAAGGGAGCATTTCAAAATGTATTCCGATCGGTCGCTATTCCTCTATTCTGCTGTTCCTCTATTCCCAGATTATTCCCCTATTTTAGAACATTTCATTGCATACCAATTTATATATATCGAGCTTGATTTTCTTTTCTAATTGTTTCTACTTCTTCAAAAACAATTAACCGCCATGTTTCCAAAGATTATTCATTGTATATGCATGTATGACAAGTACATGAATATCATACAGTCTGATCTATTATCATTTGTTTCTTTTCTTTCAGGCAGTATTTCAAGTGCCCATTCGTCTATGGACTACCGTTCGTATTTTACACCAGCAACACGTGATGATCGCAAACTAAGTATCAAATGGCAGAAGACGTTAGTGCAAGATAAAGAAAATGTTCGTGCAGCCTTATTGAAAGGCAGCAAAGAGGACGATACACAACCACACGAAGATCAACTAAATCTGATCACCAGAGATATCACAATTATGCGAGATGAACACAGTAACAGTACCGACACTATTCTTCCAATAACAGCAATAACGACAGAAAGTTCAGATCCGATGCCGCAACAAATATCGATAGAATTTACGTTAAATGAGAAACAACATCAAGCATTTGTGATAATTACTGATCATCTCGAAGGCAAAAGTTTTTTGAAATCAGGTAAGACAGTTTTGTTCTTTAATGAGAATATGTTAATATTATATCATATAGCCGATATGCAAGAACAACTACTGATGTGCGTACCAGGTCCTGGTGGAACGGGAAAATCACAACTGATCAAGGCACTCATCAATGTAGTCACAAATCGAAAACACTTCTTACGAAAGTTAGCCCCAACGTCAATAGCTGCATCTGAAATTGATGGTCTTACAATTCACTCGTTCTTAGGACCGATTAGTTATGCAAAGAAAAAGAAGACAGTTCGCCCCGGAGATGCAAAGGTGACCAGTAACTGGCATCACATTCAATACATATTCATCAACGAGATGTCAATGGTTGGTCTGCATCTTTTGTCACAAATTCATAAACTTTTGTGTATTGCCAAGTGCAAGTCAACTGAGCCGTTCGGTGGAATTAACTTGGTATTTTTCGGCGATTTTATCCTATATCCGCCCGTGTTAGACAAGCCATTATATCGCGATATGTTGGCAGAAGAAAACAATACGAGAACCAAATTGAAACAAAAAACTGAACTTGATACTCAATATGAAGTCGGACGTGCACTGTGGTTACAACTAAACACGGTAGTTCAGTTGATCAGACAAATGAGAACCGATGATTCTGCATTCTTAGAGGCTCAAAATCGATTACGTTACGGACAATGTACAACAGAAGATCATAAATTACTTTCAACACGAGTGATTGGTCATCAAAGCTGTCCGGTCAAACCACTGGACGATATCGAATGGAAAGAAGCACCTGTTCTCGTTTTCCGTAACGATTTAAGAACAGAACTGAATAATTTGGCGGTTATATCGGCAGCTCGTGAAATTGGTGTAGTACCCGTCGTATGTATAGCACACGACACGTTCAATGCCGATTCAGCTGTTAACGAAAAATTGCGGAAATTCATTTTACGTTTGTCAGACAATAAAACTAAAGGACTGTGTGGTTATCTATCTCTCGTCATAGGTAAATTTATTCGTGAAAACATTTCTCGACTACCATTGTTTTTTTTCCTTAACTGCTCAAGTATGCCGTTGCTGTTAACGGATAATTTAGCTAACGTCTCTCAAATGGTACGCCCGGAATACTCCGAAAAATAGTCTATGAAGATGAACTTGACAACGAAACAAGCGCCGCAGCCACAACGGGTGATTTTCCACCAGATACAATATTCATTCGAAAACCACTGTATGCGTTGGTCGAAATTCAAAAATCAAATATATCGTCCAAACTAGACACATTACCTCAAAAATTAGTTAGCCCTCGTTGAGGAAACATTCGAAGTCGAGTGTAAAGAACTTTTATCAGAAGAAGAACGAAGGAAGCGTATGACAAAAACCAAACTGAAAGTAACTAGGAAACAGTTTCCGTTTGTGCCAGCCTATTCCATCACAACATATAAAAGTCAAGGACAGACACTTCCAAAAATTATCGTGGATCCCGTTTTTCCACCAGGCAGTCCACCGTAAGTCGCAGCAGCCTACGTGCCAGTATCAAGAGTGAAGAAACTTGACAATCTAGTATTTTTACGACCGTTTCCAATATCAGCTCTACGGGTTCCCCCAAATCCAGATCTTCTAAAGGAACTCGACAGACTTGATCAACTGGACAAAATAACCAAAAAGCGTTTTGGATCTCGAGTGTAAATAGTGAACAGTTTTATTTTACTGTTCATTAGACATTTTTTAGATACAAATTGTGTATGCAACCTACATTTCAGTTGCTCTTTTTTTTGCACTTTTACGTGTTTTATTTTAAAAAATAAACATACTATGGAGCACAGAAATCTGATGACCGCTGGAAACACAACACTCGTCTTAGTAGCTTCTTTTTCCTATTACGCACATTCTCTCCTATTAACAGCGAATAAAATTCAAAAAATATTCCAGATTATCACAATAAAAAGCTTTGGACAACATATAATAGCCTGGGAGGAGTGTATTATGCACAAGGTGATTATAATATATGAACCTACGAAAGATTCGATAAAAAAAGGTTTCATGCGAAAGCATCTTAA